GACACAGAAACATCTTCATCACCGACGTCTTCTTCTTCAGCGACAAGTGCTACAGCATCATCTACATCATCTACTGATACTTCCAGTGTAATTCCGATTACCTCCACAGGAACGATGCCTGTAGATTCCACTACAGTTCTTTTGTCCAACACAGTGCTACCAACTGATACTTCAGAGTCTATTCTTGCTACAGATACTATCGTAGTAGCTTCAGCCACTTCCACAATTCCTGTCCGTGATTCCACAACTACACCGTCTGCTGTTTCATTTACCCCAGAATCCGTATCAACAACCCCTCCTTCCAGAGAAATAAGTACTACAGAGTCATCCCATATATCGTCTACCGATACTTCCAGAGCAACGCCGACTACCTTCACAGGAACTATTGATTCCACTACAGTTCCCGAGTCTAACTCAGTGCTAGCAACTGACACTTCCGAACCATCTCCTAGTACAGACGGTGAAACTGAAGCTACGTCCCTTTCCACGGTTAACAGTCCAGACATCACAAAAACGCCCGCTGCTGTTTCTGACACAGAAACATCTTCATCACCGTCGGCTTCTTCTTCAGCGATAAGTGCTACAGCATCATCAGATACATCATCTGCTGATACTTCCAGAGTAACTCCGATTACCTCCACAGTAACGATGCCTGTACATTCCACTACAGTTCTGATGTCCAACCGAGTGCCTACAGCATTTTTTACAACCAGTGTGAAACTTCCAGTCAGTGCTACCATTTTGACATCTCCAGATACTTTCACTAGTACAACAAGGTCTACAGCTGTAATTATAGGATCTACGATTTACCCTATTTTAACTAGTACTGCAACGGCACCTTCCCCAGGAGCTTGTCGTGAGTTATTTAATATTGCACAGTTAGAGAAAATGAAATTTGTGATCTACCCCATAAAATTTTTCTATGTTTATTAGAAAAACTTAAATAAACCACGAATAGTCTAGTAGTACCTTCAAGACTTTGTTTTGTTTGTCTTTAAGGTGCTACTAGAGACTATTCGTTGTTTTTTAATTTTTTCCCATTATATACTAACTCGGCTACCCCTCTGAAGGTTTTTAATATGTTTATTAGGTGGTTTAATTGGGAAGTATCGTCTCCAGTGAAATGTGGCTCTAAGAAATAATTATGGAAATATCCTAAAGAATCTGTATTGATATTAATTATGATGAATGCTTCAATATATAAGATCTGTGAGGGGAGTTCCTCCTATCTATCTATGCAGAACCATAGTGAATTCAGAAGGGCTTGAAAAGGATTAAAATATGTGTATGCCCGGATAAAATTGCATGTTGGAATCTGTGATTGTTATAATGTTCAATTGTGAAATATTAATGACCGTAGTATGTACACACATTTCAATGTTCAGTGCAGTATAATAGAAAAGACTCTTAGATTTTTGCATCTTGACTTCTTTTTAAAACCCCATTATTATGAAGTCCGAGTCAGTTTGAGGGCAACCTGTCTGCTTCTCATATTGGTTATTTTTTAAACAATCTTTTAATTTATGGTGTACTATAGGTAAAGAAGAATACAACTTTCCTTAGACATATCAGATAATGCATGTTAATATTTTAAGAATATAATTTACATTTTTAAAGGAAACAGTTACTTTCCATATAAAGCGCTCAGGGCTTGATTCTACCCTCCAGTAGGTGCATAGAGCTCTGTTTTGATTCAATGGGAGACATGCATGTGTGTCTTTGGTACTTAATCCTATCCTCGAATATCCCCATATTATTACATTGTCCTTAGCGTAAGAAATTATTAATTACAATGTTTAATTTTCATAAGTATTTTTAGCATCATGGAAAGTAGGTTAAAGTGCCACTTACAGAAAATTGATCTTTTTTTTGTGTGTTTAGCTTCACTTGATTTTTCCTTACGACTTGAAAAAGTAACCAGTGATGTGATACAATTCAGTTGGACACCTCTAGATGGCAGAAAAGAAAGCCCTTATACAGCTTCTCTGTCGGAAGATAACAGAGAGGTGAATAAAAGCACTACAGATAAAACAAACATAGAATTTAAAGGATTGCTTCCTGGTCAGAAATACACAATATCTGTGGAGGTTTTAATCTGTGGTCAGAAGGCCAGTACTTCAATGACAGTTCAGACAGGTATTTCCTTGATAATCTAATCACTTTTTATTAAAAGTTCATAATATATCATTCTTTAGATATGAATAGAGTCTATAACCTTTACTTGTGTGAGTCATCTTTATGTGACTCATCCCCTTGACTTCAAGAAGATTATTTGCTTAAGCAGGAGTTATTCTGTATAATTTTGCAATCATAAAACTCAAATAAGGTAAAAAATTGTGTACAAAAATCCAACTGAGTATTTAAGTTACAAATGTAACACTCTAAAGTAAAATAATGCCAAAGTTAATGTTGCATGGGCCACCTTAACTTTGCCCCTATGTTGTTATTTTATTGTTATTCATTTTATTATGATGCATGTTGTATTGTTATTTTAATATGCATATAATTTTTATTTGTATTAATATAATGCCTAAGCATAAAGACATAGTATTAAATATAGAGTAAGATACCATTTCTAAAAAATCTAGATATGATAAATTTTACAAGCTGTAACAGTTTTTCATTCTTATGTATTTATATTCTGTACATTACCATAATGCTCTAGTGTATAATTGCCATAAAGCTTTTCATATGAACTTTAGTGCATCTTTCCTTATGCATTAATTCCTAGAATGAGGCAAATAACTGTGGGTCTATTCTTAGAAATTGTTTACATGGGAAATTAGTAGGTAGCAAGCTCGGGTGTGAATTTGCAGCACACCAGATTCCTGCACAGTAGCATCCCATGTGGGTCCTGGTGTGGCACACAAAACGTTCCACAATTCACTTTGGGGTACTGCTATTTGAAATGAAAGTACATCAAAGTGCATTACAGAAATTTGAGGGTACATCTACACAGCAATATGATTTTGAAATAACTTAGTCCATGTCTACACAGCAGGCAGTTATTTTGAAATACTGTCAAGCTGGAGGACTTCTTACTCCGACTCCTGTAACTCTCATTGTACAAGGAGTAAGGGAAGTCAGAGGAAGAGTTCTGTATTTCAAAATAAGTGCTGTGTAGGTGCTCCCAATTTCGAATTAAGCTATTTAGAAATAAGCTACACAATTGACATAGCTCAATTTGCGTAGCTTATTTCGAGTTAAGCCTTGCTGTGTAGACCTTTAAGCTACGTCTACACTGGCCACAATTTCCGGAAAAGGGATGCAAATCAGGTAAGTCAGGATAGGGAAATCCACGGGGGATTTAAATATCCCCCGCGGATTTAAATAAACATGTCCGCCGCTTTTTTTCCGGCTTGGGGAAAAGCCGGAAAAAAAGCGTCTAGACTGGCGCGATCCTCCGGAATAAAGCCCTTTTCCTACCTGAGGTAGGAATAAGAGATCCTCCGGAAAAGGGCTTTATTCCGGAGGATCGCGCCAGTCTAGACGCTTTTTTTCCGGCTTTTCCCCAAGCCGGAAAAAAAGCGGCGGACATGTTTATTTAAATCCGCGGGGGATATTTAAATCCCCCGTGGATTTCCCTATCCTGACTTACCTGATTTGCATCCCTTTTCCGGAAATTGTGGCCAGTGTAGACGTAGCCTTAGTGTGTTGCTGTAGCTTATCCATATGGGAGTTTACTGCCCAGCAAGCTACTGCACTGTAGATCCATACTATGGCTTGCTGCATATGAATGTCCCATACAGACAAGTCCTTGGAAGTGCCAAGAACCTATTGACTTCAAATTAAATCACAGATGTATTGTCCTACAAGGCTGACTTAGGTTAACAAGCCTGTACAGTACAAGCTGTACCCTCTCTTATAAGGAAATAGCAAATTAGGGTTTTGAATGAATGAAAATATTGTAGTTAAATTTCAGTAATGCATATGAATTCCTGAGGCCTAATTCTCATTTACTGCAATTTTACATCAGTGCAGAAGAGATTACTCTCAATTTACAACGATGAGCTGGAGAGGAGATTAGACATCTCATATATGAGTATATTACCTTTATGTCTTTCAGTTTATGGATGATGATGCTCTAGTTTATGTTTTGAGACTCAATATCAAGAAGGACATCAAGCAACAAGGGAAAATATACCTTGTTTACATTCTCATTACACCATTCTTTGACTTTGATTCTTTGTGGTAATGAGATGGTAAGCCCAATTCTGCATGCCTTCTACAAATGAAACCCCCACTCTTCTCAGTGGAGTTTCACATGCAGACGGATTAAGGAATTGGGCCCAAGTCATTTGCATAGTCAGTTTCTTATACTATCTGATTGAAGAAGTTGCCTCATTCCAGATACATTTTAAAAATTAAAATTGGCTGGATAAGTAACGACTTCTATAAATCCAAAGTATTTCAGAGGTTAGGTGGATCCTGGCAGTCCAGTATTATTTTTTGCTCAGCTTCGTAAACCCAATGCATGAATGTCATCAGCTTAATCTTCAAGGAAATATTTAATGCTTCTGCTTCTTTACAGCATCCAAAAACTTCAAAGGACAAACCAGGTTGACAAATCAAGTCTTCAAACCTCAATACAGCAACAAATCAAGTGCAGCGTTTAAAGACTTTGAAAAGAATTTCACTGCTGAGGTACCACTCATTGCTTCAAAATAGATGTGGGTTTTATCATTTCCTACACTGCTTACTACTGCATAGAGGACAGATAACTGTGAGTTTGAACTCATGGTTTGTCACATTCTTCTTGATAGGTATTAGGGGAATTTTCTGCCTTATGTTGCTGAAGTAGCAGAGGGTATGCCTGCCAAACCAGGAGGTTCCCTGGGAGCCATCTAACCCAGGGGCCAGAAGCCTTCGTCCTCTCCTGCAGCAAGGAGCAATGCCACTCAAAGCGGCTAGCTGCCTCTTGTGACTCTCTGCGGTGTGGGGAGGGAGGGAGAAGTTTCAGCGTGCTCCCCCTGCTCCCAGCAAAATATCTCAATTCCTATTGGCCGGAAACAAGCCAATGAAAGCTGAGAGATTTTGCTAGGGGTGGGGGCAGTGCAGAAAGCCTCTCCCTCCCTACTCCTTCTCAGAAGCGCAGAGAGACATGTGCACAGCCAACCAGTGGTCTGGGGCTGCTGGGAGGAGGAGGGAGCTTTCCTGAGAGTGCTCCTGGCTGGGAGCTGCTTAGATAAGTGCCTCCTGACCAGAGCCTGCCTCTGGCACCCCATCCTGTCCCATCCTTCAACTCCCTTCTAGACCCTGCACCTCCTCCTAAATTTTTCCCCAGGCCAAAATCTTTCTCCTGCACCCATATCCCCTCCTGGACCCTGGACCTCAATCCCCTGCCCTAGGTCATAATCCAAACCCTATGTACCCTCCTCCCTCCTGCTCCAGGTCACAACTCCCGCCTCTCCTCCTCCCCCCGAGACCCTGCAACCCCTTCTACAATCTTCTCTAAGGCCAGAATCCTCTCCTACACCCATACCCCTTACCAGACTCTGCACCCCAATCCTCTGCTCCAGGTCACAATGCCCTCTTTCACCCAAACTCCCTCTCAGAGCCCACATCCTCTCCTGCAGCCTATCTCCATACTCTGAGCTCCCTTTAGCTCCCAACCTCCATCCCAGACCCCCTCCACAGAAAAGTGCAGCCCTTGACCACTTACCAAAATCTTGGAGTGCCCCCCCCAAAAAAAAATTATTGCTCACCTCTGGTCTATACCCTGGTCTAGGAAACAGAACTGATTCTTCTACACATGTTATTTTTTTAAATTGGTGATTCTCATAAAACGGCTGCATGGAAAGTTGGTTTATTTGTTTATGAAAGTGAAAAGAAAAATAGATTGTTACTTTTCATTTTACAGATAAAGGAGAAAATGACAGACGACTTCAAAACCTTATTTAACAAGGGGAGATTGCTTATAGTAATAGACAGTATTAGCAATGGCAGTGTGATTGTGCTCTTCAACATCATGATGGCTGTGGAACAAAACTTAACAGAAACAAATATTTCCAGTGCTTTTATAAAAGCCCTGAATGAGAGCACCCTGTGGAAAGTGGACTTCCAAAGTACTTCTGTAGTAGGTATGGCTAAGTGCTCACAGGACTCTCTTTCTGTTCTAGTCTGCAATTTCCGTGTTTATCAATGACATATGCCTTACCTGTAAAAACTACTGCACTAGGATTTCAGAATTTACCACCCCGTGCACAATTCCTTATTTCAGATGTTCAAGAAAACACAAGAAAATATTGACACAATTCAACAGCCACTGGACTCAGTGGGAAGACCCCTGTTGAGGCAGGGATCAAGTGCTAGGGGCATAGCAGATGACATTAGGTCTTTTCCAAGGAATCCATGAGATAATGAATCTTTTGCATAGTGCCCATAAAGACATCTTAAAAGTACAATGCAGCATTTAGCTTAATAGCCATAGGAATGTTAGTAAAACCACAAGCATTGAACCACTTTTAAATATCATTGATAATGACCCAATACTCATCAGCTCAAAGCTAGGTAAAAAACTGTTTCTGTGTTCAGTCACTGAGTAATAATACATTTTTTCCCCAAATTGTATGAATTTTCTCATTGCTGAGAGCTTTATTTCCTTCATTACAAACTGACAAACAAAATTAACAGTTCTGCTACTTTTACAGAGTAAATGTGAATATTTTAGAGTGGTTCTTACATTTCAGTTTTGGACCATTTGCATCTTGCCACGTCACTAAAACATAGCTAAATGGCATTATGCTCAGACTTTCTTTAATTGCTTCATGTTGGAGCAATTCTACATCTGTTACAGGACTAAGAATGGTGGAAGCACAATGCTTCTAACTGCTACATTTCTGTATTGCCTACGTTTTCAAAAGGCATTAATAGAATTTCCAGATCAAGGCAGAGCTAGAAATCTGGCTGTCCGGGCTGATACATAACCTTCTGTTTCAAGTACAATTCATGATACCTGAATGGGCAGTAATTGTTCATGTTACAAGAGCTCTTTCGCAAAAGGGCTTCTTCCTCGTAGAATACCAATGCTGGAAAAACCCCTCTGTTCTTTCAATTTTCTTGCAGAAGAACACAATTGGGCTGTGTCTACATTGGCACCCCTTTCCAGAAAAGGGATGCTAATGTAGACTTCGGAATTGCAAATTCCGTGGGGGTTTTAAATATCCCCCGCGGCATTTGCATTTACATAGCTGCCGCTTTTTTCCGGCTTGGGGATAAGCCGGAGAAAGGCGCCAGTCTAGACGTGGTTCTCCGGAAAATAAGCCCTTTTCCAGAGGATTTCTTATTCCTAAGGGCTTATTTTCTGGAGAATCACGTCTAGATTGGCGCTTTTCTCCGGCTTATCCCCAAGCCGGAAAAAAGCGGCAGGCATGTTCATGCAAATGTCACGTGGGATATTTAAATCCCCCGTGGCAGTTGCAATTCCGACTGGTCTCATTAGCATCCCTTTTCCGGAAAAGGGTGCCAATGTAGACACAGCCTAGAGGTGTTAAACCAATTGTGCATTTTGTTTTCATTCCATCGCCTCTCCAATACAACTTGGTTTTGTGAAATGGTAGGAAAATGCAAACTACAGACAATATCTTTAAAGTAATTAGTTCCCTTAAAAAACAAAACAACACACACACACACACAAACACAAACAACAATAACAAAGGAATGAGTGCAGCCAATGCTTCTGGTTTTTCATTAATAAAAAACAAACATGCAATCAAATAACAGAAGAGCATTTGTGCCACCTCTTCAGTTGGAAATACTCCTATACGATGTTAACTTTAATAACAAAATCATGACATGTATGGAGAAAGTGAATAAGGAAAAGTTATTTGTTCTCATAACATAAGTACTAGAGGTCACCAAATGAAATTAATAGGTAGCAGATTTAAAACAAACAAAAGGAAATTTTTCTTCATGCAGCACAGTCACCCTGTGGAATTCTTTCCCAGAGGATGTTGTGAAGACAAGGACTTTATCAGGGTTTCAAAAAGAACTAGATAAATTAATGGAGGTTAGATCCATCAACTTATTAGCCAGGACAGCTAGGAATGGTGTCTCTAGTCTCTGTTTGTCAGAGCTGAACGTGAATGACAGGGCAGGGATTACTTGATGATTACTTGTTCTGTTCACTCCCTCTTGGTCACTTGGCCTTGCCCACTGTCAGAAGACAGGATACTGGGTTAGATAGACCTTTGGTCTGACCCAGCATGGCCGTTCTTATGTTCTTAAGAGAAACTTGGTTGTTATTAGTGTCAGCACTAAAGCTGGTCAAAATTTTACGATGGAACAGTTTTTCATCAGAAAAGGCTGCTTCAAGAAAATTGAAATGTTTGATGAGACCGTATCAACTTCATTGAACTGTCTGATGAAAGATTAGCAAAATGTTTAATTCTGGTAAGGTCAAAGTCTTGGTTTTGACTTGTTATGTTATGTTATGTTATGTTTATGTTTTAACAGTAAAGTCAAAACAAACTGCTTATGTTTTCATAAAGTTGCATTGATATTTCTGAAATAATTTTTTAAAATATTTCATTTACATGAAATGTCAACTTTTCATTTTGATTCAGGATAAAAGAATATTTTAAAATATCAGAATTTCCTGTGAATGACAGTTTTGAGTTTTGGTTAGCATTAATATTTTATTTTTTTCCAAGAGGGTTTTAATATGGTAAATATTTACTTTATTACAGTGGCAAATAGCTGTGAAACAGGATTAAACGACTGTTCTAAAAATGCTGTTTGCACCCCTAAAGAGGCAACTTATTCCTGTGAGTGTAAGGCTGGATTCAAAGACCACAGTCCCAGCGTACCAGGGAAAGATTGCCAAGGTAAGAAGGGAAGGCTATGAAACCCGCCTTTTGGAGATGTGGACTGATATGAATCTGATCATGATTAGGCCAATGCAAAATTATGTGTATAAAAACAAATTGGTTACATTTAAACCCATATAACTGAAGTTATTTGTTTAAATCTTCCACACAGTGATTTTCCAAGTATGAAAAAATAATTTACAATCTCATTTGTGTATTATGGGGTACCTGTCCATTTGTATGGTAGTAGGAGGAAAATGTTATCTCAGTTTATAAACATGATCTTCTCTTAACTTATAGACATAAATGAATGTACTAACAGTTCAGCATGTTCAGACTTGGCCTCATGCAACAACACTGAAGGAAGTTATGAATGTACCTGTAATCCAGGAATAAAAGATGAGAATCCAGAAAATCCTGGCAAACAATGTAAAGGTAAATGAATAATGGCTTACTTCTGCTCAAGAATAATATTTGAATAATAATTATTATTATATTTGAAAACCCTAAAATAAATTCTCCAAGGCCACACTCATTTCACCAAAACATTGTCTTGTGTGCTGTACACATAAAAGCTTCATATTAAGTAATCTACCAGGAGATCCATAGGAGGTAATTCTCAAATCTATTATTATGTGTGATGGGGACAGAGGATGTGTGGCTAAACTTGTCTCCAGACTGAGGGGACAGATCATGTCCCACAGGTTTTGCCCTGACAGAGTCTTCCCTCCCACATCTTCTTCCTCCCACATAGAAGTGGGCTGGAACACATCCATGGTACCATCCCCAGTCACCTTAGGATCCTGTGGTGAGTTCTGTGTAAGGCCGGGATCTCCACTTAGTGAAAACTGGGTGGGTTGGAGGAGGGGACTGGGCAGCTCTGCACTGAGTGAGAATGGATGCAAGGAGACATATATTGGTCTCCGCTCTGCCCCCACACAAATCCCCACAAAAGTTCTTGGGCTGCAATAACTTTTTTGCAGAATCCCCTTTATGGCAAGAAGTTCTCTTTAATGAGACATGGGTAAGAGTACTGGGGACTGTTGCTAGTTGCAGGAGCCCTGGCAACACTGCTCCATTGGAATTTCAGTGTCTGGAGCCAGCAGGGCCTCCATGTGGCTGGTCCTGCCTTCCCACTGCTCCTTTAAGAGGTGCATGCATTCCAGGGACTCCACAAAGCCTAAGGTCGGGATTCATGGCTCATCCTACCTGTCCAGTCAATAAATATGGGTGAAACTTTATCATCTCTAATATCATTACCTCATAGACATTAACCTTCCCTCCCCTCCCCTCATCCCCCCTCTGTTCTAAAATCTGATTTCTCTATTTTATATGTGTTCACTTTTTTTGGTATATATGGTTGTGCCAATTTTCTTCCACAATTTGATCTGAGGAAGTGGGTCTGGCCCACGAAAGCTCATCATCTAATAAACCATCTTGTTAGTCTTTAAAGTTCTGCATAGTCCTGTCTTTTGTTTCTGAGGGGGAATTGCATAGAACTTATCTCCCCTATTAGCTGTCTTGTGTGGGCTTTACCATAAAGTGAAGAGATTCAGCCCTCAGGGATTCAGCTGCATCTTTTCATGCACCAGAAAAAATAGACGCGCCCTGGTTTTTGAGACATAATATTCCCAAGAAATGGTGAAAGAGTATCGGCTGCTCTCCACATACATTGTGATAGCATCAGTGGGAATGGCTCCAGACCTGCTACTGAAGGCGGGGCTGAGGATTTTGTTCCTCAGCCCTTGTACTTTTTGTATTAAGAACAGAACCATTTTACACACATCCTGGTGGATTCCTCTCAAAAGCATGCTAGGTGCTTTGCAGACATATAATTCCACTGGAAAGTCCCATCATATTTCCTACTGGGTGCAATTCACACCTGGGCGGAGGGCCAGCACAAGGCCTATATATGCCATTTCTGTCTCACTTAAAAGCCTCAGGGTATGCCTACATTACCCCGCTAGTTCGAACTAGCGGGGTAGTGTAGACATACCCTCAGAGAGTGTATGTGGTATATACAGCTTACGATAGCCCTCAATCTCTGGAGTGAATTTCCTTTCTGTATCCAAGTGTATCGCTTAACTTGGTTTTGCTGTTTACTTTACAGATCCTGTTCTCTGCTTCAACAGCACAAAGTTTTGCTCAACACAAAATAATGACTGTCTTAACTCCAAAAATTGGATTTGCTCAAGTAAGTTTTTAAGCATTTCTGATTCATTTCTGATTACTGGTAACATCCCACACGGAGCCAGTATTTTTGGTGTTCAATTTGTCCTCTACTGTGGTGTGTGAATTCAACTAGCACTCAAAGCTCACATTTCTTTGGCTTATAGTTGCAAATGTTCCCCCCACCCAACTTCACTTTCAACTTCAGCCTTCATTTTTAAACAAGGCTATTGCTTTCAAAGCATGTTTTTCCTGCTTAGGGATTTGAGGGTTTTCAGCACCTAGCATGGAGTGCAGCTGGAAGGATCCAGATCTAACAGCCTGAACTTGCTCCCACTAAAATCAAAGGAAGGGCTGCCATTGAGTTTAGTGGGAGCAGTAAAATTGGCCCTACATGGCACAGATGAGAGCAAGGGATGATAAATAAATGGCAGCCATTGCCATGTGGGACAAGTTTTGGGAGAGATGAGGATTATACTAGTAAAAGATTATGAAATATGATATTCTGTGAACATACTTGATGAATTCATTTAATTAATTTACATTTTAAAATAAAATGGGTATAATAAATTAAGAATGTGAGATAGGAAAGTAAGTCTAACAAGAAGACATAAGTGATAGATTGAAGATCATGGATGATTTGAATCTATTACCATTCTTTCTCTCCTACAGGTAACCAAGCTTTTGCTTGCAAAATTTCATTCAAAGACAAGGTGTTTGTTCCTGAATATTATAACTCTGAAAGTCAAATCTATCAGAATTTATCCCAAAAAATCACAACAGACGTAAGTCATGATATTCCTTAGGGTACTTTGTAATATACTGTTATTTCATAAGTTGTCTTCCCTTGCCATTCTTGAACCCCAGAGCCATTCACAAAGGTTGGTAGCTTACTGAAAATGTTGATGTGATTAAGCAGAAAAAAATCGCTCCTCCAGCAAAAGTAGTATAGAAAGCATGTTCCTAAAAAGGACAATAAGGGCTGAAAAGGAGTTTTTTGCTGCCTGCGTAGGTCACAGTTTTCCCACATTTAATAAGGGGAACTTTAAAAAGTCTTAAATAAAAAGGAGGGGAATTCCTCATCCCTTTTGTTTACTTTCATTCCTGTTAGATAAATGCCTAAAAAAGGAGTAGTTACTGTAGTGTTCTAAAGTCATACTGCAACACACATTTGTAAGATGCAGAGGTTTGAATAATTCCAGTAGAACACTGTAACTCATGGTAGGTCCCTGATGCTGGCAGCTGAGGGACTGGAGCGAGTTCTGGTGGAATTCTGGAGGGAGGTTGGTGTGGCAAGATAAGCGGGCGTGGGGTTTGGGGCCACCCCATAGACTCATAGACTCATAGACTTTAAGGTCAGAAGGGACCATTATGATCATCTAGTCTGACCCCCTGCACCGTGCAGGCCACAGAATCTCACCCACCCCTCCCAGAATAATCCTCTCACCTATATCTCAGATATTGAAGCCTTCAAATACTTTGAAGACCCCAATATGCAGAGAATCCTCTAGCTGTGATCTGTACCCATGCTACAGAGGAAGGCAAAAAACCTCCAGGGCCTCTGCCAATCTACCCTGGAGGAAAATTCCTTCCCGACCCCAAATATGGCGATCAGCTAAACCCTGAGCATGTGGGCAAGACTCATCAGCCAGACACCCAGAAAGTTCTCTATAGTAATTCCTATCTTTCCTCCATTCACCTATTTCCCACTGATAATGAATGGTCAATTAGTTACCAAGATCATGTTATCTCATCAAACCATCCCCTTCATAAACCATCTAGTTTAATCTTGAAACCAGATAGATCTTTTGCCCCCACTACTTCTCTTGGAAGGCCGTTCCAGAACTTCACTCCTCTAATGGTTAGAAACCTTCGTCTAATCTCAAGTCTAAACTTCCTACTAGCCAGCTTCTATCCATTTGTTCTTGTGTCCACATTGGTATTAAGCTTAAATAATTCCTCTCCCTCCCCGTTTCTCCGCTCGCCTGTGCCTCTTTCCCCTCAATCTCTGCCCCTCTTGCAGTGGCCGCTGCGCCCTGGCTTGCTCTCAGCCGGGGAAGGGGAGGGCTCTCAACCCTCGGCCCCACTCACGGGCCGGTGGCGGGGGTTTGTCCTCCGGCGGGCTCGGCCCTAGGCGCTCCTCAAGAGGGGGGGTCGGGGTCGTCCGCCACCTGCACCCGTCCTTGGCTCCCGGGGGTGGGTCATCCCGCTCTGGGGCTGGGCCGGAGGAGGTCCGCGCTCCCCCTCCGGCTCTCCGGCATTGCTGCTCCTGAGGTTGCCTGCGGGGTAGAGGGAATGCCGCCAGCCCCCTCCCCTTCCGGCTCCCCCCCTTTATGAGCCGGCATGCCCGAGACGTGCTGCTCCGCCCCCTGCCTCCCATCCGCCTCCTCCCGGGTCCTATCGCCCGCCGTGGGCGGCGCGCCTTCCGCCATGTGTGCCCGCCCGGCTGCCTCCTTGCTCAGCGGCCTCACCTCCTGCCGGCCGCTCTCCCCAGGGCACCGCCCGGCCGCGTCGCCTGGCGCCTCGGCAAGGGCGCGGACGTTAGTGCGGGGAGCGTCTTCCCCGACACAGGTGGGAGTTCAGAAACACTACATAGCATAGAATTGCAGAGCAAAATTGTCATGAAAAATGTATCAAATAGGTAAAAAGAAACCTATTCTACTTTGCCAGGATGAGAATGAAAAGAACTAATGATAATTTACTCGCCTGTCAAAAAGACTTACATGCCTGAGCCAGCTGGCAGAGTGAAAATATTGCAAGGTTGGGATAGTCTGTCAATGATTTGAATAATAAATAAAAAAAATTCTTAACATGCCTACTGCAGCTTTAACCCAAGAACTTCTAAGTATTTTACAAGCAGTAACTAATTCCTTTTTACCACATCAGCTGAACATTAATACAATGTTATTATTAGCATCCCCATTGTAGAGAGGGGTAAACTTGACTTTTAAAAGTTAGATTAAAGGGCCTGTTTAAATGTTCACTAAATTCAATGGCAGTCTTTTGACAAATTTCAGTGATTTTTGGATCAAGTCTTCTGTGACTTGCTCAAGGTTATAGTGATTATTGTCATTATTATTAGACAGAGGCAGAGCTGAGGAATGAAGCTCCTCTTAAGTCACAAATGTTTTCTATTTCTGTCCATAATTTATCAAAAAGGTGAAATATTTTGGCTTGAAAATGCTGTCATGGTGCCTCCTGGGAAATATAGTCAGGTTCCGCATGCTCCCGTTGTCCTCTATGGTCTTTGGGGGAACTACATGTCCCATGATGATCTAGGAGCTGGAAAGAAGTGCATTATGGGAGTCTCTGGCCATGGTGCATCATATACCATATAGTGCAGCCGGGGACCCTAGCTCATAAAGGAAAACAGAGATACGAAGCAACTTCCAGTTGGCACTACAGAAACATTTCCATATTTTAAAAATGTTATTTAGGTATTTGATTTTTTTTTATGAAAAATCAAAATTCTCCATGGAAAGCTGATACTTTGAAACATTTTCCTTAATCAAGAGCTTTAACTGCAATTTTTGACCAGGCCTACCTAGAAGGGAGGAAACTACCAGTATTTTTCCTCTATTCATTGGGAAATACTGGGCCAAATTGCATTTTGAGATACACAAGCGTAAATCTGGAGTTATTCCAATAAAGCCAATGAGTTTTGTTTGATTTACACTGAAGTGGTTGTGACAAGAATTTTTCCTCGTCTCTTCTTTGCACAATCATTCTGAAATGTCAGGCTTTTGATTATACCACAGTGAAACAAAGTGCAAAATACTGTATAAGTTATATATGCTATTTATCTAGACTAATAGCAAATCATATCCATTTTAAATGCCTATTTCCAACTTGTGCTATTGGATGTGTGTACACATGGGAAAAGCATACTTGAAGTCAAGGTATACTAGTTAATAAGGCTGAAGGGACCCTAAAAATAACTTTAGAAATATTATATGCCTTGTAAATATAACAGTAAGGTGCTGTTGAGTTCTAATATATATGTGGTAGAAAGTGAAGGATAGTTAATGCATACAAATTCCCAACTGATGGCTAACTATAGATTGCTACTCCAAAACTTGAGGTCTTATTTCATACTTTAAATTATGTACCGCACATCTTCAAGAAAGCCTTTTCTGAATAAATATTTGGAGCTATAGAAAAACCCATTTTCTTTAGTCAATATTTTTTGTTCTAAAATATTGCCTTAAAAGGGTGATGTGCACAAAAATTAAATTCACTGGTATATGTATCTAGTAATTCTTGCTCTCCCTCTTGGTATTTTGGAACAAATGTTGGTTTCCATTTTTCCAGGTTGTTAAACAAATGCGAATTATCCTGAAAGACGACAGCTTTGATATCGTAGTGGTTGGATTCAGAAATGGGAGTGTGATTGCCTATTTTGTTTCTCTGCTACAAGGACAACAGTCCATTGATAAAATTACTTTTCAAAAACATTTAAGCGAAATAGTAAAGACTGTGTTTGCTGGTGAAACTGAAGTAATCGTAGAGCGTAAGTACTCTTAACACATTTTATTAGTTATGGCATAGGGATCTGAAAGCATCTAATCTCATGCACTGCACAGAAATGGTGAAAAACAAATCCTTCCTTCTAAAAGGTGCATATCCTTTATGCTAACTTTCCAAAAACACCTCACACCAGTGCAGGGGCACAACCAGAATTTTCCTAAGGAGGGAGCCTAAGGAAAGGTCCCCTCTTCAGGAGGGCTTCTGTCCTGGGAGAATGAAGATGGCAAGTGTGCAGGATGCCCTGTGGGCACAGCTCAGTGTGACAGAGGGCAGAGCCAGCTGCAGGCAGGTTTTCAGGGCTGTATCTAGGGAAGGAATTTCTGGGACATGCCAATCTCAGGCCCTAGTGTCAAGGAGGGACACAGCCCAGGCAGTGCAGAGGGAGGTCCCTGCAGCCTCTGGTGCCCTAGTGCCCCTGCTCATTGTAGAAAGCTCCAGCATCTGGGCCACATTTCTTCCACCTTCCTATTGCTGCTTCAGGCAAGGCAGTGCCTTCCCTCCCAGTCTGCAGAGCCAGGACTCTAGCAGGGGCAGGGGTAGGGGTACCTCAGCTTGTTACCTCCTGTATGGAACATGATCTGGTCATGGGGCTGCCTCACTCTGCTCCCTCAGACAGGACCAGGAGGGTGGCAGTCACTGCTCAGGGCAGCCTGGGGGAGTTGGGGGACAGGGAAGCCTGCACACCCTTCCACTGTACCTCTTCCTGGGCATGTTTCCTCTGGAGTGTTGATTATTGTTCCATTTCAAACACAGATGCCTCTCCACAGCAGTGTGAAAGTAGAATATTCTGGGGGACATTCTTCTATTTAGAGATCTACAGGGCAAATCCTGGTTCTCTTCACATGCTAGGAAGGAAACACTTCTTGCCAGCTCTGCACCAGCCAGGCTGGTCCTACAGACAGTTGGCTTAGGGTGGAAGGGGGCATGAGGAGTTGCTGTATTTGGTCCATGGTGTGTGACCCCCCTGAGCGGCTTCCCAGCCACTGCTCTCCCTTTCTAGTACTCAAAACTGAGACGCTGCGTATGAAGCATGTATAGGTCTCAAAACCCTTCCTTAGCCTGGTAAGTACATCCTTATGAGAGCAGTTCTACTGGAGGGAACAAAACAGCTCACGTGAGCGGCCACCAGCATTACATGGCTGACCCCTACGTGGTGTAAGATAAGCGTTGAAGAATCTAGCAGAAGCAGTAGGTTACATTAACTTTAGGCTTTCTTTTAGCTCACTTAGACTCATCTCTGAATTTGCCTCTGTAGACCTGAAGTAACTCCATTAAAATCAGTGAAAAGACTCCTACTGCCTACATTGAATGTGGGACAGCATGTGCACATTTTGCATTGAATACAAGGGCTGGATCCGGGCATGTCTGTCACAGCTCTGGGGAGGGAGCAAAGCAGAGCGGCATGGCCATGGGAGCGTCATTAAGAACATAGGCATAACCTATGGGCGCACAGTGTGCAATCGGCTCCAATTATTTGAATGCAGAATATTGCTCCCCTTGTTACGCTGACTCTGCTCTATGGGTTTGCATGTTCCCTGTGTCCTTCTACCTCGGTGCTCCCTTCTTGGCACCTTGTTCCCCAGGAGCAGTGGAAGCAAGCAGTGCTTGCATGCCATACACCTCAGTGATTGCTATTGTGCAGCCATTTAAGGTGGGGAGGCTTCTTGCATGTTATGTCAGCCGACACTCTTGTGCCAGAGCTGCCCACAGTTTGGTTCCCCAAAATGGGAATGAACACCGCAGTATTTAACATCGGCTCAGTTTCTAAGTGTCTGACGTTAGACATTGAATGCAGCTACACTTAAGGCATCATGGTTTCCAAAGGTTTCACATTTTGGCATTTCAGGATGGCAATTCTCAAATATATTTTCCATTTACAGCAATCCCTACATCTTCTGAAGTAAATCTGACCTGGAGAAATGCAGTGATTGTCCTGGGCGTTCTGTTTGGAGTCGCATTCATACTTGCTTTGTTGATACTGTCAGCATACCTTTGGATGAGGTGTACATCCGGTCAATATTGGATTGAACCTAAAGGGCTTTTGGGAAATTTTGCCTACAAATACTTATAAGCTGTCCCTCTGACTTACAAAAAAATGGACCTCACTTGCAACCTTAAAATACATTAACATTTCTCTATTAAATCTCCTGTTTTATCTGAAGTACTTCTATGTCACTCTGTGCCCCCTTTTACCGTTGTGTCTGACTGCCTCAATCTTAAGGCAGTGCTATTGTCATCATTTTATTAAAGAAGAATGAGCCACAGAGAGACTAAGTGACTTACCCTGAGAAGTCTTTGGCAGAACTTTTAGCTAGACGTAAGGAAAAGAAATAGCTATGCATGGCAGCTATAGTTTAGCTATGTGGTGTTAGAGTTATAAACAGAAAGGAGTTGATGCTTCTACAGAAACAACCATCAAAATTCCCATTATCTTAAATGGGAATATGATGAAGACTGATCTTCTGGTCCATATTTTGCTCTTGGAAATACCCGACTTCAAGAGAGCTGTATGTATGAATCCACTGGAAGAACTTGACTCTGTTCCTGTTTACCTGTTCCTTTATTATATTCATTTAGTTTTAACACATCACACAAATTCACTTATACAAAGTGTAGGTTGGCGTGTACTTATGTGCCTCTCAAGTAAACTTATACATAGGAATACGCTATACTACTCTATGATGATCTTCTTTCATTTTGACAAATTTAGCACAAATAGTTTGCAGTAACCATATAAAATACTATATACTGTTGATTCAAACAGACTTTAATGTGTGAGCTACAAAGAAACTGCTAAAGGTAAAGTTTTAACATATCATTGAAAGAGAAGGAAGATAATTTGGGGAGGAACAGATTAATTCATCCATTTTTACCTATTAGAAATTATTAGACTAAAATCTGACATATACTCATTTTTCACTTTGCTCTTGATAAGCCTGATCCAAAACCCGTTGAAGTCAATGTCAAAACTCAGGGATTTCACTAGGCATTAAATCAAACCCTGTATATTTTATAGTCATAAAATATTTTACAGAATTTTCCTTATCTTCATCACACCTAGATTGTAAGCTCTTTGGAACAGGGCTTGTCTTCATTTTTTGTGTATTTTACAGCACTGAGCATATTAATAAATAGTAATAATAATGATTCCACTATGATTTGTGTAGTTCAGATAGATAATTTTGTTTGTATCTGTATTTCTTTTGTCTATGAGCCAACTGCCAGTTCTATGATTCGTTACTGAATCCCTGTTACTATAAAATACTGATGGCATGAAATTTCTGAATAATTGGGTCGGACTTCAATTTAGAAGTTATCAGTCAGTTATGAAAGAATGTAGTGTATTGCTCTATAACAGCCCAGAGCCTATTCTTTTACAGGCTAAATCATATCTTTTGAGTACAGCCTACAGTTAGAAGGTCTGATACTGCAGTTCCCCAGATGGACTTTAGGGGGCTGATTGCCTTTCTGAAAACCCCAGGCCATAGGGACAGCACCCTTATTCCTACTCTTGTACCTGGGCACAGCCAGTTCCCTTCTGCAAGGCCAGATCCCAAGGCAATTTGGCGTCTCTGTGCTGTTTCACTACTAGCAGGTCTCGTGATAAAACCAAGATGCAATTGGCCAAATGTAGGGTCATACCTGTATGGATACCGCTACACAGCATTGTGAAGATCTAAACCTTGCTGTATAGAGAGCACTTGGAAGCTGCAGTTCAGGCTAGAGCCTGTGTGCTGGAGGAGCATGGGCTTCAAGGTTCAAGCTGCAACTTCAAAGAGCTGTCCACACTGCTATTTTAGAGAGCAAGAAGAGTGAACCTTGTAAGCCCAAGTCTGTCAACCTGGACTGGGAGGCTCACTCCTACTCATGCCAACATGCTGGGTAAACTTGTCCACAACCTCTTGGACTTTGCAGCCCAGCACACAGGCTGTACCACCCTTCCAAGAGGTCACTCATCAGGCCCTCCCTAGATTAGCAGCCCTCTGGCATTCCAGAATGGGCCATGGTGGTCACAAAGAGACGGCTGCAGGTTTGCTGCACCTTTGTGCACAAATTTGTGTCAATATTTTGTGCTCCTGGCAGGACTAATATTTGCAGGGATCTGTGACGGGGATTTGTGCTCATGAGGCACAAGTCCTTTCTGAACATCCGGGGGTCAGAATACTTACACTGCTCTCAGCTCGAGCTGACACACAATTCTGCCCCACAGAAGAAGATGTAGTGACATGGCCACTATTGTACATGCTTTATAACCCTGATGAAGTGCTACGCTCATGAATCATTTCTGAATGTGCACATAGCCATCCCTTCTATCAGTAAATACAGTCTCACTGGAGTATTATGCTTTGCAAATACAAATGAAGGTCAGTGGCTGCTATTAATGTTGTTTCCTTTATTTTTAAAATATGGTATTAATAATAATTGATGTGACTCTTAGTTAAGTTTTTCTGGTATTTTTGGAAGCTATAATTGATGTAATGATTGTGTACAGCTGGGTTCTACTGTAATATAAGAAGTGAGAATTCTATGATAATCTGTATGTACAATATGCTAAGATCTGGTATTTTAAATACTTTCCAGAAATATGTTGCCAATAAATATACTATTTTTACAATTTTGCATTTCTAAGTGGTTTGTTACTATTATTTTGAAGCACAATTTTGGGGAAGTTATTTTTTTGGAAACATGTTTATGTTTTGATTAAAACGATTAAGTAGCAGCAGAGCCAAGTTGGCAAGGTTTAGTTCAGCAGATGCAGAGATGCTGTATCTCAGAGCAAGGTTAGCTCCACCAATTGTATAGGCAGAGGGACTCAGGTCTGGTGGATCTGGCTCTATTCCCCTCAGCTTTGTTGAAACCCCTCTTGCAGATGTACTGTGAAGTCCAGGCTTCAGGAACTGCTAGGGGGCAAGTAAAGGATAAGCCCCTGTTCTCCTTTCCAGAAGTAGGGAATCGTCTCTTGAATTTCAAGCAGGTTGTTAGGCTCTGCTCCAGTGATCCCCAACTTTTTGGGGCTGCCGGGCTGGGCGGGGGCAGGGATGCGCATGCACCGCGTGCCTGGGGGCGACATTGTGCATGCGCCATGTGCCCGGGGTGCAAGAATGGCTCGGGCCGGCCCTGGTCACTAGGCGGGTGCACATAAATGCCCCAGCGTTGGGGACCACTGCTCTACACCTTCCCCCTCCTCAGTGAGAAAGGGTTCTGCACCCATGGGGCACCTGCCAATAAGATTCATGCAGTCAGCCAAAAGAGGTAGTCCAGAGAAACAGCACAGAAATGGCCAGACTACCATAGGATTTGATGTTCCCATTCCTATGTTCTGTGGGCTGGGAAGGCTACATTTCCTTCCTCTTCCAAAAAGGCATACAACCTTCGCTGGCGGGGAGACATATGTATACCATCTTTAACCTCATTCCTGAAAGCTGGGTTATCTTAGGACATGACAAATTTCTGGGTAAACAAATCAATACCTATTCTGTTAGCTTTCATCAACCACATCAATGCAGTGCATTCAACCATTGGAAGCTGTGTGTCTTCTTTAGTATCATAGCATCCATGCTGCTGAAACACAACAGAAATACAGTCTTCCATATTTGGTATTGTGATGGGCCAGACTTCAGATTCTCCATCAAGTGTGATTCCGTGTTGCTTGTTCCAGCCGTGCTAAGTTTCTAGGTTGGCTTGAGTCACTGCAATGACAATCGGTGTGATTGTGATTCTATATTACTCATGCACAGAGAGCACATATTGTTAAAATCCTTTTGACAGTCCTTTGAAAAAGCTGCACTTCAAAGTCACTGTTTATAGCACATTATCAAGGGGGTGCAACTAACCGCCATGGCACCTCCTTGCCAATAGCAGTGGGAATTAGTTCTCAACAGTTCATAGGGCACCTCCCTTTGGCTGGTATCTCCCCATGTCCTTACTCCAGTTCTGGACTCGCATCACTTCCAGACCACGGTGTCCTCTTCAGGATACTGCCCTCCAGCAGTGCCCAATACAATTGTCCCTCATCCCCCTTTCAGGAGATTTATCAGCAGTCCCATGTCTCTTCACTCAGGGGTCCTCCCCTTCCTAGGAACCCCCAATTCCCCTATTCCCTACCACCTTGCCTCAGTGACCCACTGCCACTTATCATCTAGCCCCTTACCTCAGGGGCTAACTGCAGTCTGAAATGGCCACTCGTGACTGGAAAGGGGGTGTGGACCTGCTGCCTCTTCCTAGCCTGGCGGTTTCCTTACAGCCTTAATACACTCAGGCCTTGCCTCAGGCCCTGCAGCCTGGGAGTGGGGTCAGGCGGGAACTCCCTAGCATTGTCTACCTTTTCCCAGCACTGCTCTAGCTCAGGACAACTCCAGCTTCCCTGACAGCCAGGTCCCTCCTACTCCCCAGCTAGAGCAAGAATGCCTCTCTGCCCACCTCCCTCCCAAAGCCCTTATTTATACAGCCCCCAGCTCGGCCCTAATTGACAGTATCCACAGGGGCGGATATAGGGCAGGGTGAGCAGGACGGCCGCCCCGGACCCCGCGCTTCAAGAAGCCCCACGCATGCACCATGGCAAAGGGGGCCCCGTGAAATTGGGCTGCCCTGGGCCCCGCAAAATGATCATCTGCCCCTGAGTATCCACCTCAGCTGTAGGCTTTGCTCTCAACACTTTCCCAGGCCTGGGTTTTACCCTTAAAGGGCCAGTGTGGAGCAGGTGCCCCGTCACACACATTAATACAATTTTTCATTTTTTTTTTTTTTTTTTGCAAAATACGAACATTGTGTAAGAAGGTTGAGATTGGATCAACTTCTCAGTCACTACAATGAAGTTCTGGACATCTTTTTAACATCTCAATTAGACGCAGAATTGAAAACCATGCAGCTTATAAATGTCAGAGTAGATGGAGAATGTAGTACATGCCTGCAGCTTCCACTGGGTGCTGCTGTCTCTATCTATTTCAGCCCACAGCAATTACAGCCAAGTGTTTTAGAAATGTAACAAGTGTGGGGAACTTGCTCCACATGAGTGAAATTCATCACAATGCCTAAGTACCACTTTGTCTCTCAAAATAGGTCCTAATCAGAGCTGCCTGGCTTTTCACTTCATGTGAAGAAAATTGTTTTGTGAGTGACATAGTTACCCCTGACAAAGCTTTACATTTACAATCCATGTTCCAAAAAAAGTTAATATGAGTAGGTGACCTTTTTAGCACTCATATGACAAATCTCCGCCTCAGCTGGAAACAGGACAGCCTTGGTGGAGAGATGGTTTTAAAGGGCAAGGAAAAGGAACAACCTCTGCACTTTCTCATATGGTACCTCAATATGGAGGGAGGGGACACTGTGGATAGACTGCTTGGGGATGTTTGCACTGCTGTTGCCCATGTTATAACTATTATGGACAGAGAAGGCCAGACTTCACACTGACAGTATGTACAGTTGTTAAATGGCTTCATTACCACTTAATGGCTCTTTCACATGTTCAGTGTTATGCTAATAGGTCTGGAAGGATGGAAGATTTTTCACTTTTAAGTTACTAGATCCACTCCAGGGGGAAGACTCCCTAGGCAGAAACAGCCTGCAATGGGAGCATGCAAGGCCAAAAAAGGAATAGAAAAAGGGGAGAGGTTGAGCACTAAGACCTAGGAAAGGCGTTGCTTCCCCTTACCTTTTATACCCCCTGCCCATGAATGTCATTTTGAAAATACAAAATGTAGTCTCCAGGAATTCAAGGTCTCATCCAGTGAAGAAGAGGGATTCTGACCTACCTGGCTGACCCTACTGCTCTTAGGCTCCTGGGCTCTCTAGTCCAGGAGCATCTGTGGTTCTGTTGGACCACAGATGTTGCCGGACTAAAGAGTGCCAGATTTTTTAGGTATAACCTGTATAATCCTACATCTTGATTCTAGCAAGTGATTCAGCACTGCTAAAGGAATGGACAATATAACTAAATGCCCTACTCTTGTGTATTTTGTTCTGTGGTAAGAGTGTTATTAGAACAACACAGGACTGCCTATGTCTGGTTTTTCATTTTTTTTTTTTTGGCTCTCACTTACCTCATCTTCAGTAGTGCCCTACTTTCAGAGGAGTAAATTAGGTTATTGTTTTTTATTTCATTACATGAAGACAATAAAAAGACTTTTTGTAACAAGGCGGACCAGGCCCTGAGTCCAAAAGGGGCCACTGGTAAGTCTTCTAGGAGGCTAGAGTGGCGACATAAGAAACTGGCCAATCGGGGGCCAGGGAGGCCTACAAAAAGAGCTGCAAACCTCAGCAGCAGTTCAATTGCAGTGGATCCCTGAAGGAGAGAGACCAGGGGTAACTAGCTAGCTGAGGGTATGTCTACACTACCTCCCTAGTTCGAACTGGGGGGGTAATGTAGTCATATGGAGTTGCAAATGAAGCCCGGGAAATTCAAATCCCGGGCTTCATTTGCAACTCCATATGACTACATTACCCCCCCAGTTCGAACTGGGGGGGTAATGTAGTCATATGGAGTTGCAAATGAAGCCCGGGAAATTCAAATCCCGGGCTTCATTTGCAACTCCATATGACTACATTACCCCCCCAGTTCGAACTGGGGGGGTAATGTAGTCATATGGAGTTGCAAATGAAGCCCGGGAAATTCAAATCCCGGGCTTCATTTGCAACTCCATATGACTACATTACCCCCCCAGTTCGAACTAGGGGGGTAGTGTAGACATACCCTGTGAGTGGAAGTACAATGGACAGCTCCCAGTGGAGAGTTGCTGAGAGAAAAAGCCCTAAGGCAGGGATGGGAAACTTTTTGGGTCAGGGGCCACAGAAAGACATTCTCCACATCCCCCTTGCCCACCAGAGCGTAGGGTGGCCCAGCCTAGTAGATTTTGTGTGGTCCAGCATTGCGGTAGGGTAGTGTTGGAGGGGAGAGGGGAATGGGGATGAAGCACCAGCACAGGCCCCTAATGCTGTGGGGCGTAGGCTGAGCCTTGGGGGTCAAATCCAGGCAATCTGGGGGCTGCATCCGCCCCCCCCCCAGGCATGAGGCTACGCAGCCTGCCCTAGGGTAAGGGCAAGGGAGTTGTCTGGAGGAGGAGGAGCACTGGCAGCACCATTCTAGATTAGAGTGGGGAGAATGAACTGAGAGAACAAACTGAACTGAGACACTTTACATGGGGCACTGGGATGGGCCTCTGTTAAGTGTGTATTCCGAAAGGGGTCGAAGTTCACCAAGAGTGACTTGGCTGGAAGGCCGAGTTGCCAAAGAGGCTTTCAGCATGGCACAGAGCGCAGGCAGTCAGATGGGGGGATGCGTATGTGAGGTGAGTGCCAGCCCTTTACACACCTCTAAAAAGGTGTCCTACAAACTGTTTGCAGAAAATTCCCTCAGGTCTAGCAATATGTGCTGAGAGTCCCACAACAGCTAGGCTAAAAGAGGTTTCAGATCAGTCTTGGTTTAACCCCGCTGCAGCAGTGTATGCATTGTAACCTACAGCACTAAGCTAAGGCAAAGTTAGTATTTTTGTCTGGGACCTTTCACCCAGATAGCAAAGAGAACTTTCATATATTCAGGTTTTTTCTCCTGGATAAACATTGGTAAAATAGAGAAACTTCTTGTGG